CAAGCGTGGTACTGGAGGCGTTTGGCTTTTCAGGACAGCCGCATAGTGTGTCTGGCATTCTGTCCCCAGTAGCACTGGTGTGAGCATCTGTGTCTGCTCCCGAAAGAGGTGCGGTGGGGAACTCGTCACAGTGATCCCCCGGTGTGGGCTGGGCACCACCACTGGCTGCCGTCCGGGGCACAGGTGGCTCCCCAATGTCCCTGACTACATTGTGTTTCTGTTTCACTCAGCCTGGGGGGTCCTGCTGTTTGCGGTAGGGAGTCCTGAGTCGTATCCTCTCTAACCAGCCCCGAAACCTCCTGAGGAGGAACATTCTGGAGTTTTTTGCCCCTGTTTTCTAGGCTCTAGCAAGGTGCCTGCTGCCTAAGCAAGTACTTCAGAAACACCTACCAAGTGAATGAATGGGCAGCCCCACAAAGCCAAGAGCCCCAACAGAAACGCGGAGGAACATTCCTGGGGAAAACATACCCTGAATCTGATGCCCACCTTCCTGTCCTGTCAGACCCTTCCTTCAAGCATTGCTCCCCAAGCTGAAATCAGCCGCATTCTTGCTTCCTGCTCAGCAGATAGTGATACTTAGTCTAAGGTCTATACAACCAACCCGAGTCCCCTCCCCCAGGAAGCCTTCCCTGACTGCCCCTGCCCTCATCCACACTCTGTCCTCTGAGCTCATACATCCCTGAGAGTCTGAGTCTCACATGCCTGTTCTTACATCCAGGTTAGAGTTCACCCCTGGAGATCACCCCCAACATTCATGAGGGCTTTCTGGTGACAAGGAACGGGTCCCTCATTTTTGTCCTTGCCTCTGCCTCACAGTGTAAGCAAACACAGGCTGACCACAACAGGAGAAAAGTCAAAGTTCCCCCTTCCCTTTAGGAAATTCCTTTCAGGGCCTCAGGAGCAGCTCACTGGAATGAAGACCAGTGTGGGTGAGGGCAGTGTTTGATGGCAATCCCTGCCTTCCCACCCTGCACAAAACCAGGGCTCCGGGGCAACCTCCTTCTGGTCTGAACCCTGCAGAGAGACTCCAACGAGCACCGGCTCTCCTGTCTGTCTAGCACTCCCTCTTCTGATCAGCTTCGTCCTCCTCAAAACTGGAGCCCTCCCTATGCTGGCCAGACCAGAAGCACCTTCTTCCACCAGCCCCATAGGCTCACTGTGCCCCAGACCAGGCCCTGGCAGTCCTGCGTCCTGTTCCAGAGTGAGGTCCTCAGACAGGCAGCCCGGTCAGCCCAGCCAGGGTTCTCGGCTGCAGTTTTTCTGCCACCTGGTGGCCAAGTTAAGCATTGTTCTTCTCAGCTCCCCTCATTCAATGTCCCTTCTGAGCCCTCAAAAATCACCTAATGACCCTCTCCTTCCTGCTGCAGATGCGGATCCTGAGCCCTGAGAAGGGAAGGGTGTGCCAGTCAAGGAACCAGACCCAGGAACCATCACCGTTGTCCCAGTCCAGGGATCCCCCTGGTGGCAGAGACGAGAAAAGTGGCAGGAATTTGAGGTTCCGGTTTCAACTGGAGGGAACAAGGACTAGATTTCCAGCCATGCATGAAGCCTCTAGAAAAGGGATGGAAATTCGGAGAACTGGCTTCTGCTTCCATCACTGCTACCACCATGAAGTCACTTCTAACACCAACTGCTAACTAGCCACTAACACTAGCCCATAATTAACTGCTAACACTACTAAACTAATGACCAACACCACTAACTAACCACAAACTAACTACTAACACTAACTGCTGACACCAGTGAAACTCCGAGAGACCACCATTTGACTATCAGGCTGACAAAGCTGTTGACGATAATAACGGGGCAGAGAAACTGTCACATTCACACTGCTTGTGCAAGAATGCACGGGGCCAGCCGTTCCGGGAGACAATTTGCCAATAGGAATTAAAAGACTTGGGGCACCTGGGTGGCTCAGTTGGTTGAGCATCTGACTCTTGATTTCGGCTCAGGTCATGATCTCGCGGTTCATGGGTTCGAGCCCTGCGTCAGGCTGCTCGCTGACAGTATATGGAGCATGGTTGGGATTCTCTCCTTCTCTCTCTGCCCCTCCCACCCTGTTTGTCTGTCTGTCTCTCTCTCTCTCTCTCTCTCTCTCTCTCTCTCTCTCTATCTCAAAATAAATAATAAAACAAACTTTAAAAAAATAAAAAAGGACTTATCACATGCATTGCGCTGGATCAAACATTCTAGGTCTAGTTTACTCTGAAGCTTTTCTCTTTTTGAGATGCAAGGAAGTTTGTCATCACAACTATTTATTTTTAAAACTTGGGAGCCACTTGCACCAACAGAAGGTTTGCCAAATAATTATTGGTTAAACAAAGAATAATCAGATAGGCTTTACAAATTGTGTGGCCGAAACGTGTGACAAATACTCTGTAGCAACTATCCATCGGCTCGTTTGTAAGTAACCTTATTAAGAGGTATTCATTCACATGTCATAAATTTCACCCTTTTCAAGTGTCCAGTTCAGTGGCTTCAGTCACAGAGGGTGAGACTGTCACCACTAGCGAATTCTACACATGTCATCACCCGTGAAAAAACCCCTTGGCCACCAGCAAGCAGTCAGTATCCACATTCCCCTCCCCCAGCCCCCGGAAACCTCTAACCTCCTCTCAGTCTCTACAGATTAGTCTATTCTGGGCATCTCGCATAAAGGAACCCTACAACATGGGGCCTTTTGTGACTGGCTTCTTTCACTTAGCACAATGTTTTAGGGTTCATCCATGTAGCATGTGTCGGTTCTTCATTCCTTTTTATCATAGAATACGCCATTTCGTTTACGCATTCAACCAAGCGATGGCCGTTTGGGATTCCATCTTTTGGCGATTAGGCACAACAGGGTTCTGAGTATTTGCATACAAGTTTTTGTATAAATGTAGGTTTTCAATTTTCTTGCCTACGTACCTTGGAGTGAATTCGCTGGGTCGTATGGCAACTGGACATTGGACTTCTTTTTAAGCTTATTTATTTTGAGAGAGAGGGAGAGCGTGAGGGGCAGAAAGAGAGAGAATCCCAAGCCGGCACCCACTGTCAATGCAGAGCCCGACACAGGGCTCAGTCTCACAAACCAAGAGATCACAACCTCAGCCGAGATCAAGTCTGACACTTAACTGACTGAACCACCCAGGCGCTCCTCAACATTGGACTCTTTGAGGAACTATCAGACTTCCCACCAAAGCAACTGTACCATTTTTCACTCCCACCAGCAATGTATAAGAATTCCAATCCCTCCATGTCCTCGCTAACACTTGTTGTTGGCTATTGTTTTCAGTTTAGCCGTCCTATTGGGTGGGAAATAGTATCTCAGTGTGGTTTTGATTTACAGTTTCCCAATGAGTAGTGACATTCGGCATCTTTTTATGTGCTCACTGGCCATTTTTATATAGTGTATGTTCATTTTAAGCATACAAAATACAAATTGATAAATATGGTATGATCTCAAGATGGTTCAGAAATGCAGAGGGGGAAAAATCTTTTGGGAAACATACCAAAACATCAATAGTGACTATCTTCAAGTAATGAGATTATGGCTGATTTTTATTTTCTTTTTTAATCCCATCTACATCTCTCAATGTCCTGCAATGAGTATGAACCACTTTTACGATCTGAGACTAAAGGAAGGAAGGCATGACAGGGCTCTTGGATTGGGATTCCATCTTGACATTCGTCTGACCGCAAAGGCACTGGGTAGTTGTGTATCATGGCCAACAATGTGACCTTGGATATCACCTGGCTGAGTCTCCTTTCAGTGGAACCCTCGTGACTTGAGGGAGGAAGGCACGCATCAGAGGAAGAATGGCAGGGGATATTGATGAAGCTAGGGAATGCTTCTTGCTGGAGGCCAGGGAATAGGGCTGCTGCATTTCGCATGATAGATCTGCTGTGGGCCAACCAGGAATGGGAGAGATTTCATCCTGGCCTGCAGATCCATTTCTGCCTATTCTCTGTACTCAAATCTCCCATCAGTCAACAAACATTTCCCAAGACAGCACCGGGTTCTCATTCTCCTCCCTCCCGCCAAGGAAGAGGGTGGGGGAAGGACTGACCATGAGGACGTGTTACATCAGGGGCCCTCACTTGAGTGGGGTGCAGCAGGCTATGGGCTCAGGAAGGCACTCAACAGAGAACATATGGGAAACGCCTAGAATAGAGAACACTCCACCCCAGGGGAAAATAAAGAAAGGGACCCAAACAATTTCCAGAAGAACAATCCCAAAAGGCTAACAGGCACTAGAAGAGATGCTCACACTCATTAGTTATCAGAGAAATGCAAATTAAAACAACAATGCGATGTCACTTTACACCCATTTGACTTGCAAACATTAAAAAGCTGGGTAACGCCAAGTGTTGGCGGAGCTGCTGGTGGGGGTGCAGATTTTGCAAGCATTCTGGAGCGCAATCTGGCTCTGCTTCGTCACATAAGCAAAGGCATAAGTGATGACCCCACACTTTTGCTCCTGGGTGTGTGTCCCGGAGACAGGCTCACTTGTGCAAGTGTATGAGCAGACATGCATGTGAATAGTCACCTGCACGGTGGGAGCAGGGGAAACAGGACAGGTCACATGTGGGCGATGACACCGTGTGGCACCATATGGCAGTCAGAACAAGAGACCAGATGAGCACACAACAACACGAGTGGATGTCTTAAAGCATAGTGCTGAGGGGAAAATGTTAGAAGCAGGATGAAGCATATAACTGACAAAATTTATGTAAATTAAAAGTATAGACACACACACAAAATACTACATATTTTGCAAGAACACACAGAAACACAAATATTCACATTAAACACATTGGAATGTTTGCCTGTGGGAGGAGAGGGGTGGGAGTGGAGACAGAGACAAGGAAGAATAAATTACACAAGAAGATGCTTGCACAGGCGAATAATGGAGACGTAACAGGAAAGAGGAATGATGAAGGTCCTTCTGCACCAGAGGCCAAACAAAGGCTGTAGACCCCTGCCCTGTGGAGGCGCATATATTCACTCCAACGAACTCTTGTATCTGTCCATTTACAAGTTTATTGGCTCCTCTGGCCTTGGGTTATGGCCCAGACTCTAGCAGAAGGAATTGGAGGAGAATGGAGACGGAGGAACGAAGGAGGTCAGAGGTAGAAACACAGGGACCTAGGGTCAGGTGTAGGACAAGGTAAGAGGGTTACCCCTGCTCAGGGCTGGGCAGAAGCTGGGGTGGGGACATGGCCCAAGGGCTCTTGGGGGCACTGGTCTCTCTTGCTTCTACAGAGTGGGGGGGGCGGCTATTGTAGCTGCCCGAGTTCAGGTGTGGACCCCAGTCACGTGATGTGGCCAGCCTAGCATACAGATGTCAACACCTTCACCCCAGAGCGGGAAGGCATCGTCCACTTGGTGAAGGCCCTCCGGGCTGGCAGCAGCTCAGCATCATGGCTATGCCATCTCCGTGAGATCTCAGTCCTCACCTCCAGGGACAAGGGAGAGGATGTTAGGAAGGCCCCACTGCTACTTCTGTGCTCCACCCCAATGGGACTGAGGGTACAGGGAGAGACCATGCAGGAGAAACAGACTTGTATTCCTGGGAGAGGAGAAGCCATGGTTGACTCAGTAGCCACTGCTAAGTATTGTCTCTGAAAGATACTACTTCCTCCTTCCTGTGGATATTTCTGGCCATTCCCTTTAGCTCTTTTCTCTAACTTTTAGCACTGCCTTTGGGTGGGTCCAGTTAAAGACATTTTCTATGGATGCTTTCTTCAGTTTCTGGGCAAATAACCACACTGTCCTCCATGATTGGCTTAGACCATCCCCTGCTCTGGGATTCACTCCTGCCCTTGCCCACTGAACTGAACTATGGCCCCTGGGAACCTGTCCAGGGGATATAACCTTAAAGGAGAAAAGACTCAGAGCCCCGTCTAAGGAGCTACAGGTGAGGGGACTGAGATTCCTGAAAGAAAAGCAACTGGGTGGGGGTGGGGGGCATGGGAATCTGTATTGTCACATCTCCAAGGGGCTGTTGGAAGGCAGAGGGGGCTGAGAGGCTGTGACCCTCCTGACAGAGCTAAACTTGGGCTGTAGTGAAAGACAAAAGGGAGACAGGTTTCTGTTCAACATAAATGTGGGTTTCCCCACAGGCGCCTAACAACAGAAGAGCTATTGTTAAGTAGTAAGCTCCCCATCACTAGAGGCATGTAACTATCTGGTCTCCAACATGACTTCTTGGGACGGATCCCTTCACAGCTCTCCATGGAAGCCGCTTTCCCAAGTCCCACCAGCCTCAGCTAGGGCTGTGCCTCACCCTTTCAATGTCTGCAGGATCCATGAGCCACCACACAAAGATACTGCAGTCCTGTGTCCGCACCCAGACACCAGATAAGACTGTGTGAGACTCAGAGAGGCTGGGGTAGAAGTAAAGAGTCACAGGGGAGGGAGCCAGTCTGGGACAGAGGTGGCAGGTGGCGGGCGAGCGCTGTTCCACAGCTGCACCCAGGTCTCTGGCAGAACAGAGCCCATAGCAAATCCATGCCACCAGAGGGAGCCCATGACTCTGCCTGAGCACATAGCGGGGCCTGGCTATCCAGGGCACTCAGCTAAATTCTCCCACCTCTCCCACAAAGCAAGTCTGTCCTAAGGGACAGATGCAAGGTGCCTTCTGGGTGGGATGTTTTAATTCTCCTCTCTCTGCCATCTTTCCATATTTCTATATGTGTGTCAGCACCATCTATCTATTCATGGGTATGTCTGTCTCTGCTTGGTCTGTTCTTTCCATCCGTCTGTCTCTTCCAGGTATTTCTCTCAGTATCCCCAGCTCTGCTCTCGATCATCCTCCCTGTTGCTACACCTGACTCTATTTTCCTTGTTCCCTTTATGTCTGCCTCTGACTTTCTCTGTTCTTCAGTCTCTGCTTTCTCTGTCCCTCCCAGAGCTGACTTATTCCCTCCTCCACTCTCCTTTTTGTTGTTTTAGAAACACAGAATTGGGGGATCCTTTTAGACTATCCTGGTCCTAAATGGACAGTATACTTGGCCCAGCCCAGAGAAGGGATGGATAAAGGATGTTTATAGGAATCAATCAGGTTCAGCTTGATCTAGAAGCTCAGGACAGACTAAGCTTCACAGAGGATCACAGGAGTCAGAGTTTGGCTTGAGCTGGGATTTATAGGGCCTGGGAAGAAGAGAGGTGGCCTCAGGTCTGGTGGAAGGGAAAACTCAGTGACTAATGATAGCTGGAGAGTTATATACCTCTTGGTTGAGGAAGCAATACAGGATGGCAACGATGAAGCCCTGTGGAGCCAAATAGAAAGGGCCACATCAGAACTTGGTCTGACCACAAGGTGCCCAGAGTCTTTCTACTACCTTTTCCTGTGTCCACCCCCAGGCTGTGGCCTGGGCCAGGGCTTTAGGAAAAGGGAAGGCATATGCATTCATCTCTATGTGCCACGCACATTGTCTCATGTAATCATCAAGCAAGCCTGCCAAGACTATACTGTTGATCCTGTTTCTCTGATTTCCTTCATTTCTCTATCACCCAGTATTGAGCACAGATCCTGGCACATAATAGGTGCTCATAAGTGTTAGATGCATGGATAGATGGACAGATAAGAGGATAACAGATGCATAGGTGGAGGATGGATGGATGGATGGGTGGATGGGTGGATGGATGGGTGGATGGATGGATGGATGGATGGATAAGTGGATGGATGGATGGATGAGTAGATGGGTAGGTGAATGGATAGATGGATGGACAATGGGTAGTTAGATGGATAAGTGGGTGAGTATAGATGGGTTCAGGGGTAGTTGAATGAACAGAGATGGATGGATGAAAGATGGACACAGATAGTTAAATAGATAGAGGAGTGGCTGGAAGAAAGAATAACCAGCCTAGTAGCCTTCAACCTACCATGAAGTCAATCAAACCTGTGGGCAGCACCACCTCCCTTCTGCCCAAGGACTTAGGGGGAAGAGTGCCTGTGGGGGCCCTCACCTGGAAAGAGCCCAGTCCTAATTCCAGGGGGAGGCGGATGCCCAGGCCGGCACTGTCGGGCAGAAAGTTGAAGATGACATAGTGAATTCCAAACAGCGGGATGAGGAGAAGCGTTGACTTAGAGAGACGCCTGCAGGAGAAGACGAGCCCTAGGCACCCAAGGCTGGAATAAGAAACTCCCATGCGCCCCCTGCTCACTCCCACCTCCCATCAGTTCCCCATATGGACTCTATGCACCAGGCACCCCGGATGCCTCGTCCCCAAATACACAGTGCGGTACAATGCAGGGCTTCCTTACTTCAGGACCATGGATCTTGCTGTCCTTGCTGCCGAATGCTCTTGTTTCGATTGACTCCAGTCAACATCTATGCATCTTTCAAAGTCTAGTTCAACGACCACTTCCTCCAGGAAGTCTTCCCTAACCATACCTTACCCCCATCCCCTCATCTAGAAAGGTTCTCCTTCTGCAGACTCCCATAGAAATGGATCCCAGGACTCATCGGCCCCTTTGGCCTGATAACTGGACGTCTGCTTCTCTGCTCCCTACATTGTGATCTCCTAGAAGACGGGGGCCAGATCTGATCTTTTTCTGGAAGCATGGCGAGGAGCACGGACCAGGCCAGTGAATGAAACAGAACCACACCAGCTCTCACTCCGGTTATGTCTCCGGCATCCCGTCATGCACACACACGTTACCGGTACTGAGACTGGGGGTGGAGGCTGCCCTGAGCTGGCTCCAGTTTCCTCAGCAGGATGCGGATAATATTGAGGAAAAGCCCAAAGTTCACCTAGAAATAGAGGGGCAAGAAGGCAAAAGGCAAGAGTCAGGGGTGCCCCTGCTGGGATGGGGCCTCTTTGGGAATCGGAAACACCATCCTTGAGACACAGGGATGTGCAGGTGGGTGGGTGTACGGGTCACTGCTCTAGAGCTTGTATCCTGGAGCCTGGGAGGTCCCACGTGGAGCTCAGGGGCTGAGGAGCTCTGGGTCCCCCTCGCTCTCCAGCCCAGGGATGAAGGGTGGGAGGTTGGGCCCGGTCATTCTGCCTCCAGCATCTCCCAGGGTCTACTCTGGCACAAAGCAGGTGTCCCTCACTTTTGATAAAATTGGGGGAAATGCGCACATTCACCAAGGCCACACAAACTGGCCCCCGATGCCCTGTTTTCAGCACAGGAGCAGGCGGTGGGTTCAGCTACAGCCCTCTTTCCACGCCCCACACCAGCCTCGCTGCAGTAGCAGATGATCTACAATCAGGGCCCCAAATTCACCACAACTCTGAGCTGGAAGGAGCCCAAGCACTGGTGGGGACCAACCCCCTAGTTTTACCAATGGGATATGAGGACCCAAGAGGGCCTCACAGAGAATCTGGCAGAGCCAGGCTGAAGAACCCAGGTATCCAGATTCCCAGCCTGGAGTCATGTTTCCTTCTGTACAGCAACCCCTCGGCGGACCCAGGGAGAATGAAGCAGAGGACGCTGGCTGAACTGACCCCAACAGAGAGGACGATGGGCCCCTTGATGATCCACCAGTAAGGGGAACTGTCATCCAGGTCCCAGCACCTAGGAAGAGGACAGGCTAAGACTGATTGGGGTGGGGGGGGGGCTGCCAAAAATACAGTCGCTGAAAAGCCCTTTTCTGTAGTAATCCGGCACCTTCCTCCTCTCCATGCCCTTCCAGCCTTATCTCCTCCCTCAGCCAGTTAGGCCTCCTTCCAAAGGGGTGCACCAATCCGTGCTGGGCTTACCCTATCTCTCTCCACCTAGCTGCTTCTTGCTGGCCCCAAAACTTCTCCTGTTCTAGGAGGCCCCTATTTACTGTGCTTCCCAACCCACCCCCCCACTGCCTGAGCCCAACACCCTGAGAATCTGAGGCCCCCTTCCACCCCAGGACATGTCCCTTCCACACTATCCACAACAGCCTACCCATCTCACACCCAAGCCTGGGAGTTCCCTGAAGGCAGGGCTGGGGTCTCCTCCTTCTCTCCCCAGCTTGGAGAACAGCCACACAGCCTGACTGTCCAGCCCACGCCCCAGGGGCACATGGTGCCGTGTGTTGAGGTCGCCACCCACACTCACGCAACATCCTCAAAGGCCACCTTGCAACACACCCACATGCCAGTGAAGAGCAGGGGGAGGCCTGTTGGGGGGCACAGGGGAGACACAAGTAAGGAGTCTGTATCCTAGGCTTAGAGACCTGCCCCCACCTGCCACCCCTACCACCAGCGACCCAGGGCACTGGGAAAGTGGGACCAGAGGAGAGCCCAGGGGCTGGGGAGCTGGCCCCTACTTGCTGGAGGATTACAGGCTGTCCCTTCCCCTCTCTGGGCCTTGGGTCATCATCAGTAAGCTGAAGGGACCTTTGGATGAACTTCCTGGACATTCCCAGCCCTCCACTAGCCAGCCCTGGTGCTCACCCCAGCCAGCAAGAACCAGCCACCAGAAGGCCCTCCTTGTGCTGGGCGACTTGGAGGCTAGGAGGCAGGTCAGGTACACAGCTTCCACCAACAGCCAGCTGAAGTTGGTCATGGTGGCAAAATGGGCGGTGGCCACGGAGACCTTGCACAGAACCTGTGGGCCGGGGGCCTGGGTTCTTCAGAGCTGGGTGTCCATTGGAGCTCCTACCCCACTCAGGTCCCTCAACCATAGGCTGCCCCAGAGGAGACGTGATAGTATAATGTGGTGATTAAGAGCACAGATTTGGGATCTGGGTTCAAATTTACCACGTATTAGCTGGGAAACCTCCCCATAGCTCAGCTCTTCATCTGCAAGCGAGGTCAACTTCTAGAGCTGCGGCTATGGAGCACCATTCATTCCTGCAAACATACAGGCACTCACCCATGCATGCATTTATTCATTCAGTGCATGATTCACTCTCTCAGCGCTGAGGAACACCGCCTCTGAGCTCAGATGGCCCCAGTTTGGCCCCAGCCCCACTTGCGTACAAATGGGACTAAAATGAAAATGTAAGTAGGAAATAAAAGGTGGTAATATATGTAAAGCATTTAGTGCAATGCCTCTACCTAAGTGCTCCATACGCATCTATTACGTCTGTTCTAAGTTCATTAAGGTCATTGTTGGTGTGTCCGTTTGTGCATCTGTTCATTTCCGGCACAGTTTTAGTGCGCCTGGTGTGTGCTGGGCCTCCACACTGTCCCCCAGCTTCCTTTTATCTTCATTTTCTGCTGCTTCTTCCACCTCCCCACCCCCATCTGACTTCCCTGGTTCTTGGACATGCTCCTGTCTGTGAGAGTCTGTTCACCCTGGTCCCTCCATTTAACATGTCTTCCCCCTTCCCCCCAGCAGCTCCAAAGCCTTCTCCCTGAAGCCCAGCTTTCAACCTCCCCTCCCCCACTGGGTGCTCCCATAATCTGGTGCATTCTGCCCCCCCAGGCACCATGGGTGCTTCTTGAGGGAGGGACCCAGTTCCACCCAGCCCCGGGGCAGACCCACACCCAGCCACAGACAGGCACCCTAGGGGGAGTTACAAAATGAAAGGACTGGTGGGGTGACAGATGGGCTAGGTTGGAGTACAGAATAAGGCATGAAAGGGGAACCCGAAATATGGGAAATGACACGGATTGGCCCCAGGGTCCAAGAAATGGGATGGGGATTTAGAACCTGACTCCGGGGAGGGGCAGGAAGGGAGAGGGTGTTTCCTGTTCTGTGATTGGCCACGGCAGAGCCCCAGAGTCAGCCCACAGGACCAGGTGGGCTGGAGGGGCCCTCCACCCCTGCATATAGGTCTCTAACACAGCCTTCCCTCCCCCCCCCCACCCCAGCACCCTCCAGCCCCAGCGACTACAGTGGAGAAGCTGCAGTGATCCGCGTTCTCGCTGTGGAACAGGGTGGCGTCCTTCAGGAACACGGCTCCCGCCTTGAGGATAAAAGTGGCAAACAGCTGGGTGTGAATGTAGTTCCGGGGACAGTGGAGCCTCCTGGAGGGGCAAGGAGGGATGAGGGTGAGCATGGTGGCAGGCGAACTGAACTGGCTTGGGTCAGATCAGGCTGGACTTGAGACTTCAGGATTAGCCATGCAGGACAGCTGGCCAACCACGGCCCTAGGCTCAGCGTAGGTGAGAGGACAGAGTACCGGTCTCTGCCTTCAGGGAGCTCACAGTCTGGGGGACAGAGGCAGAAATGGCAGGAGGCTGCCAGGGGAGTCCCCTGGGTGCTCAGAGAGATGAGGTACATCCCCATGAGACGGAGAACAGCACAAGCCATGCTATGGGGCTCAGACTCTGAAGTCGGGGCTTCGGGGGGGGGGGCGCTTAAGAGGGGCAATGGTCAAAGGGTTGGAATAGTCGAGAAGGGCTCCACAGGGGAGACCACGAGGATTCTTAAAGCAGATGGGACCTGGGCTTTGAATTTTGGCAGATATAAATACATCAAGAAGAAAGCAGGTGGGCATGCCAAGCAAACAGAACAAGTTCCACAAGAGCAAAGGTGTAGCCACTGCAGTGAGCCCTCAAGTGTGAGGAGCGGATGAGAAACACTCTGGCAAAAGAAAAGGAAAAGCGAGGAATGGCCATGGTGCCTAGATCTGGGAACCTCTTGAACGTGAAGGCAAGGAATGAGGTTTGGCAATGTGGACAATAGAGAGGCAGCAAAGGCTCTTGAGCAGGTGAAGACGACCGCGAACCTGAGAGCCAGAAGGATGGCGATGGCCACGAAGAGGGTCACGGCCGAGATGCTATGGCCCAGGGTATAGATGATCTTCACTGTGGAGAAGTAGGATTTCTGGGAGGGTCAAGACAGAGAAAGTCTCAGCAGCCGCACTTTCTGGGAAAGGGAGGCTTGGCAACCAAGCAGGTGAAGGCTGTCCATTCTACCCCGGAACTCCCCACGGGGGGGGGCAGGGGCACCCATGAGAACCCTGGCAAGCTCCCTCCTGAAGGGAAGTGTTGGTTAAGCCTGTCTTGCACCTGACCTTCTGGTGAGACGGGGTGGGGACAGGGGTGAGATGACCGACTCTCAGTATTTCTGGGGGTGGGGGGTGGTGGGAGGGGGACAGGCAACAGAGAAACTACATTTTCCCAAGGAATGACAAAAGCCCAAGGGGAAATGGGGCTTGTTTATCCTGCTGCCTCACCATCTTGGGCATACAACATTCCCCAAAGAAAACCACAGGGACAGCCACAGGGAACAGTTATTTCTATGACCAAGTATTTAGATTGACCAAAGTCCAGCCTGGACACCACCACCCCCACCCCAACATGGAGATGCAGGGTGCGGGCCAAGGGAGGGGATTAGTGACCCCTAAGGGATGCAAACAATCAACATCCACATCTACCTTTTCATCTGAAAAATGGTCAGACTCATGCCTTCCCTTAGCTGAGGGGAAAGATATAGCGGATTGTGGGCATGGAAGCACCTTGCAAAGGCCCCGCTCAATTCAGGCACGTGGGACGTGCACAGTACTCCACAGACTGGGGACTAGAGAAGGGAAGGAGCTTTTGCAGGACTACTAGGAGCCTTTGTTTCCCTGGAACCACTCAGAGCTCCTGTCCCGGAGGCCTGGGCGTGGAGAGGGCACGCCAAAGAGAAGGCAGCCAGCCTATCTCCCACTCTGCCCTCTGCCTCCCTCTCTCCTAGCACAGGTGTCACCCTTGAGCAGATTAGCAAAAGACCAGGGCTCTCTCTCTTCCAGACACTGCCATCTTCTGGAAACTGCTGTGATTAATATGCCAACCTGCTGGCTACAACGGAAATGGCGACTTCTACAGTTGTGCAGTCCACCATCCATACAGACCTCCATGGTGACCCTTCCTCTAAGATGCCGGGAGCCTCTTACCTCCTCAGTCAGCAGCTCTAGGGGCACAGGGCAGGCCACAGGGTAAGGTGGGAAGGGCTCAGACCAGCCAGTGATAGTGCAATCCCGCTTCACAGCCCCTGCAAGGCATGCCGGGGTGAAAACAGAAATTGGGTTAAAACTCCTACTCTCTCTCCAGGACAGGGGGAGGAGTCATGGATCATCCGGTGACCCTGGCACGGTCTGCAAACAGCTCCTCCGAATGGCAGAGAGAGGGTAGCCTTCCCTCCAGGGGCCTGGATTCCAGGTCCAGCCCTTCCAGACTCCCCCCACTGGGCAGCTGGTAGCATCTTAGCAGTCAGACAGGCTCCACTGCTCCCCTCCACCCCCACGGCCAGCCCTCCTGCTAAGATCCAGAGAACGTTTACTCGGGGTCTGGCTCTGGGTCCAGCACTTCCATGCCGTGCTCACCAATCCTTACCCCTCAGGAGGTTAATGTTCTTGTTTTCCCCAGGTCACAGGTCAGAAGCTGAGGGTCAGGAGGTTGACTGACTTGCCCAAGGTCACACGGGAAGAAGGGAAATGGTGTTCAAATCCAGATTTACTACGCCCAAAGCCAGGGATGAGCCTGCCATATTCTGGCACCATCAGATGAAACCACCTCGAATCCCCCCGCCTCACCACCATGCCCAGAACCCTCACCTGGCTCTGAGCTGAAGTGAGAGAAGAAATCTGGGCAGGGGAGAGTCACCCACTCGCCAGAGCCTACCATCGGCCAGCACAGCAGTCCATCCCAGGTCCTAGGGCAGCCTAGATAGATGGGAGCAGAGCAGACTCAGGGGACAGACCCATCCAGCATTCAGAATGATGAGGCTGGAGGAGATAAAGGCGTCTAAGAAGCCACCCCCTCCCTCCCAAGCACCCTACCCAGAGTGGTGTTGGGCACCCCTTCTGCTGCTTGTAGACACAACCTCTCATCCTTTCTCAGCTGGGTGATGAAGTCACACTCTGGGTGCACGTGGCCCAATACCTGTAGGAAGGAGTTAATGGGGTAGGCCAAGCCAATTAGGTGCTCCTTTTGGTTCTCTGGTGCAAATGACCTTAGGACAGAGAGAAAGCCTGATTCATTTCTGTGCCCCTGCTCCTAAGCCAGGGCCTGGCTCATGGCACTTATAAGCGTACTTGGTGGAGGAGGGACAGGAAGAAGAAAGGAGGGAAGTGGGGAAGGTAGTAGGGGGGACAGGGATGAGGGGAGGGAGAGAGGAAGAGAGAAAGATGGAGGTTTGGACAGATGCTTCCCCATGTCATGTCATGGAAGTAAGTTCTGAGACACACTAACCACAAGTCTTCCGAGGATCTCACGGAGCTGGCTGAGTCAGTGAGCCATGTATGTAGGGCCTTTCCTCTCTCCCTGCACGCCTTCTCCCTGACACAGTCCTGCATAAAGTACCTTGGTAGGCTGAACAATGCCTTCCATACACACAAAAATGTCTACATCTAATCCCTGAAACCTGTGAATATGCCACCTTGCACGGCCAAAGAGATTTTGCAGCTGTGATTAAGTTAAAGATCTCAAGATGGGGAGATTACGCTGGATTATCTGGGTGGACATGAGGTCCTCATAAGAGGAGGCAGGAATGTCAGAGCCAGATAAAGAGATGTGATAATGGAAGCAGAGGGGCAGGGGTAGGGAGATGAGAGAGAGTGTGCACTTTTACCATGGGGTGCACACAGATGAGAGGAAGGAGGCTCCCTCACTGCAGAAGGGAGGGCAGTAGAAGTTACCTGCATGACAAAAAAAAAAAAAAAAAAAAGGAGGGGGATGGGCAAAATAGGTAAAGGTTAGTGGGAAATTCAGGCTTCCAGTTATGGAATGAATACCACACAGGAAGGAAAGGTATAGCACAGGGAATAAAGTCAATGGGTTATAACAGTGTTATGTGGTGACAGATGGTGAGCACAGCATAACATACACTTATGAAATCACTATGTGGTACACCTGAAACTAAGCTAAAAACTAAGGTATCATGTGTCAACTATACTTCAATTAAAAAAAAAAAAAAGTTACCATATTGCACCCAATACTCAGCCCTCGACAGATCAGATCCCAGTCAATGCGCAACAGCCCTAGAGGGAAGATATCGTCTTCTTTGTCACAGAAGAGACAAGTGAGGCTCAGGAAGGGTGAAGAACTTGCCAGGACCACACAGTTCCTTTCACCATGCCAGGATTCAAGCCCAAAGGCTGTGCACTTGGGGGCAGGTGCCACACTGTGCTTGGAAGGTGTGGGAGCCCCTGCACACACATGCTGTCACACGTGCACACACACACACACACACACACACACACAAGCCAGTGGAGGAAAAAGGAGACCTCAGCCCACGTGGGCTGAGCTTCCCACCCAGTACCTTGTATGTCCTGTCCTGGTCCCTGTGTCGCTTGCAGTAACTCCTAGAAAACATGCTGGGAAATCCCAGCACATTCAGGGAGGGCCCCTGTCCCCCACCCAATTCTGTAGCATATCAGTCTGCCAAAAGCTTCTCCAGCCCCAGGGCGTATCAAGAGAAGAATAGTCCCCCAGAATGTGGGAGGGGAGCAGCTGTTCTCCACATACTGTTCAGGCCCACACCCTCTTAAGAGGCAGCAGCCAAATGGGAGCGTGGCCCCTGGGATGCTGAGGAGAGGGAGAGGTCTGGAGATTCTGTGGAGGACTTCGGGATGGGTAGCTCAGAGAAGAGAGAACGTGGGGGAGGAGAGGCCCTAACTGCTTCCCTGATTGGGAGTCATGTCTTGGGCAGAGTCTTTGTGGCCCCCAGAGAGCACAGAGGGGCCTGGGGGGAAACAACAGCTCAGATGGGCCTGGGGGGAAGCTAATTCACCTCAGCCAGGTTTTCATAGAGCTACCCAGAGACAAGCAGCTGCCTGGGGAGGGAAAAGCAGGGGATGGGAGGGAGGAGCACCCATCTCAGGAGTTCTCCCAGCCACGGCCTCCACAGCCTGCTTAGTAGGAAGAAACTTGTGTGGTGGGGAAGCCAGTGGGGATCCCCACCAGGCTCCAGCTGGAGCCCCCTCCCCCCCACC